TGATAGACTTATTTATTTATAGGATGGTAACGACCCGTTGTTAGGGTCAGAATATATAACCTCTTTCACAGATTTTTATATTTCTGCCACATTTTTATTTATTTTTCTAGTATTTCTTTGTTAAAAGCATTAATTCCTGTTGCCTTGATAAAATTTAATTTAATTAGCTAATTTTGTAGCTTTTACCTGGTCACCTCTCTATCTGTTTAAGACAGGCACATTTTGATTTGACAGGCTAATTTAACCTATTCATGTATGTTTGCTCAAATGCACTGAACATTTGTTATCGCTTGCTATTTGTTTATTTATCTGGATATGATTTGATAATCTCTGATATGAGATTGTGCATAAACAAATATTTGTATAGTGTGTCAAAAAATGGAATGGGATTGGTATGCATCAGAGGTAATACCGGTAGTTTACCTGTGTAACAACTAATTTATGTTACACATACCAAAGGTACATACTGATACATGTATTATGTTTGCATTTGACAGACAAAGTAATGTGAAATATTTGGTTGTATGCTGTCAATTATGACTATGAATAGAAAGGTGATATGAACCTTACTGTCCTCTCCCTTGTGGTTCAACTCAAAATCCTTGTCGTCGTAATCTTGCTGTTGAGAAAATTGTCAGGTGACTGACTGACACTGCACTGATGCATAGGGCATATATACGGTCCTACTATTTAACGCCCGGACACGCGAGGGAGTGTCCGGGCACGCGCGGAGGCGAACAGGGGGGAATACCTAACGCGCGGGGCAGCGGCAGCAATCCTTGTACTGTATAATATTCGTTTATGCTCAAAATTTGAACCGGAGTGGCGAATTCGAGCAGCTAACCACACTTTTTATGATCGACGCCCGGGCATTCCGGCGAGTCGAGTCCGCCATGTTGTTTACTAATTTTGGTTAGCGTTTAACAATAGGACAATACCATTCGATCCATGGGGGTGACGGTACGGTAAATATCGTTTTAGTTGACTTGTACTTATTTTTAATAAAAATATTTTCTAAAAGGGCGGTTTGTTTACTATACATGGTTTACAGGGGCGCAAACAAAGAGAGACTTTCTTAGCGGCACTGTTTGAAAACGA